GCCTGTGTCCAGATCTGCATGTGGATGTCCTGTTGCTCTGGCGCCAGTGTTGAAAAGGCCGTCCTCTCTCCACGGAATCGCCTTTGTTCCTCTGTTAAGGATCAGCTGCCTGTAGTTGGCGTGCCTGTTTCTGGGCTCGGTATTTTGGTGTATTTTTGACAGGAAGTCTTGAAATTGTGTAGTGTCTGTGTCCAACTTTGTTATTCTTCAGCTCTATGAGTATATTTATATGCATTGTTTCATATGTATTACAAGTAAGGATATTTATATTTTAAGTGTATTATATTTATATATGTTACATGTATTTTATTGAGTAAAATGTGTGAAGAGGTTTAATTTACTAAGTTTAAAATGGGATAAAAATGTAATGGGCTGGTGAGGAAAGCTGGACACTCCCCCAAGGTCACCCCGACACAGGCAGATCAGTGAACGGTACCGTGTCCACGCAGTGGAAACTCCCCAGCGAGCCACTGGCAGGCACAGCAAGGACGCCCTCCAGCGGGTGAGTCTGGGCCAGAGGAGAAACCGCGTTCACAAGGAGCGGGGGCCGGCAGCGCAGACCCCGCCCTCACTCAGGCAGATGCACAGGCACTGCCCGAGCCGGGGTGACCCGAGCGCAGGGAGGCACTCTGAGCACAGGGTCAGAGGAAACTTGAACAATGAACATTTTCCACACCTCCATGCAGTGGTGGGCACACAGGGGTATGAATCCGTTAAAAGTCATCAGCCGTATGCGCGAATCAGACATAGATTATAGGTCAATAAAGCTGACTCAAGAAAAACAAAACGGGGCCGGGCGCAGTGGCTCACGCCTGTAATCCTAGCACTTTGGGAAGCTGAGGCGGGTGGACTGTCTGAGCTAAGGAGTTCAAAACCAGCCTAGGCAACATGGTGAAACCTGTCTCCACCAAAATATAAAAAAATTAGTGGGGCGTGGCGGTGCACGGCTATAATCCCAGCTACTCAGGAGGATGAGGCACGAGAATTGCTTGAACCTGGGAAGTGAAGGTTGCAGTGAGCCGAGATCATACCACTGCACTCCAGCCTGGGCAACAGAGCACGACTCTATCTCCCAAAAAAAAAAAAAAAAACAGGGAAAAAAGAAAACTATCCCCCAAGGTGGGGAACCTGTTAGGTGCATAAAAACAACAATGACAGCAAGCTGAAGGAAGACACACTAGCTAGTTTTATAACTTTTTACCTTTAATATCATAAATATTAACTTTAGAAAATAAGGCTGGGAGCTGCGGTGGCTCAGGCTGGTTGTTCTGGCACTCGGGGAGGCGAGGCTACACGTTCGAGGCCAACCTGGTCAATGTTGACAGAAAAAAATAATTTTTTTTCCATCCTGGGTAACACAGTGAAACCCTGTCTCCACTAAAGATACAAAAAATTATCTGGGCGTGGTGGCAGGCGCCTGTAGTCCCAGCTACTCAGGAGGCTGAGGCAGGACAATCGTGTAAACCGGGAGGCGGAGTTTGCAGTGAGCCGAGATTGCGCCACTGCACTCCAGCCTGGGGGACAGAGCGAGACTCCATCTCCAAAAAAAAAAAAAAAAAAAAAAAATAAATAAGCCTAACTTCTAGAAAGTATTTTCTTTTTCTTTTTTTTTTTTTTTGAGATGGAGTCTCACTGTCAGCAGGTGGAGTGCAGTGGCGCAATCTCGGCTCACTGCAAGCTTTACCTCCCGGGTTCATGCGATTGTCCCGCCTCAGCCTCCCGAATAGCTGGGACTACAGGCATGAGCCACCACGCCCGGCTAATTTTTGTATTTTGAGTAGAGACAGGGTTTCACCATGTTGGTCAGGCTGGTCTCGATGTCTTGACCTCGTGATCTGCCCGCCTCAGCCTCCCAAAGTGCCGGGATGACAGGCGTGAGCCACTGCGCCCGGCCTAGAAGGTAGTTTCTACATAAGAAATCTACCCTTGAGGACATCAGATAATTCTCGTATTAAAAGTAAACCAGCCCCCCCCCCAGCCTCCTGGATACTCGGTGTGTGGGCACCCTGCGTGTGGGCGCCCTGCGTGTGGCCGCCTTGCGTGTGGCCGCCCTGTCTGTGGCCGCCCTGTCTGTGGCCGCCCTGTGTGTGGGCACCCTGTGTGTGTGGGTGCCCTGTCTGTGGCCGCCCTGTCTGTGGCCGCCCTGTGTGTGGTGTGTGGCCGCCCTGTGTGTGGCCGCCCTGCGTGTGGGTGCCCTGTGTGTGTGTGGCCGCCCTGTGTGTGTGTGAGCGCCCTGCGTGTGGGCGCCCTGCGTGTGGGCACCCTGTGTGTGTGTGGCCGCCCTGTGCGTGTGTGTGACTGGGCTCCTGGTGTGCAGCAGTGCGGGTCCAGGCCATGAGAATGGACTTGGGACAGGTGCACCACGGCAATTTCACTGGAAGGAGCCGCAGAGCCACACTCAGTGCCAGGGTGACCTACAGCAGCCGAGCCTTGCAGGAAGGAGCCCAGAGCAGGTTCCAGGTGCCAGCAGCAGAGGATGGGTGGCTTCTTTTGTGCCCTCAAAGAGGGTGAGGGGGGCAGAGAATGTGAGCTGGGAGCACATACAGTGTCCCCAAAACAGAACCTCAGAGAAAAATGCCCAGGGCCCTGTGAATTCCCGTCTCCTGGCCCCTCTCAGTGAACACACACAGGGGCTCCCTGCTGTAGAGGACAGGATGGCAGAACCCAGCCTCTCATGTCGGGGGCCACTCAGGAGAGGCCAGCGCTGGGTGAAGTGGGGGACATGCCCTCCGCTGCTGCCCCCTCAGGGGTCTAAGCTCCTGGCCCCTCTGGGTCTGGGTCACCCAGTGCTTCCCACAGGACCCAGGCCTGGGAGGGCAGGGTCTGACTTGGGGTGGTGAGGCTTTGTGATGCGCCTGGTGGGGGCCTGGTGAATGCTTTCGGGGAGCGCTCCCAAGACACCCCCTGTACTCCTGCTCTTGACAGTTCCTGCCATGTGGGACACTTGAGGTGAGACCCAGTCCTGCTTCCCAATCCACCTGCCCTGCTGTGCCCGGCAGATGCCACAGACCCTCCTAGCCAGGTGCTGATGGATGAATTCAAGAAAGACCAAGTCCTACTTGAAAGCTCCCTCTAGGCATACATGGGGCTCCTGCCCACTGCCTCGCTGCCTCCAGAGCCACAGGTCCAGGGGCCCCAGGCACGGCACATGCTGCCTCATCTATTTCTGGAGCCTAGTTACCCAGTGCACACCAGGCCTGCAGGTTCTGCACGTGACCCCTGCTGGGATTGCCTGAGAAAGGGAGGAGGAGTGAGCTGGGCCTGCAGGACGGGAGGCGCTGGCCAGGCCAGGCCTGGGAGCAAGCTGGAAGGAAAGGGGAAGGGCCGGCAAAGCTGACTGGGAGAGGGATGGCAGCGAGGTGGGAGAGAACCCACAGAGCATGCAGCCAGGAGCCGGGTAGGGAGACCAGGACAGGAGAGGCCACCTGCGCCTCCCAGGTGAGGATGGAGGGTGAGCTCCTCTGGGGAGCAGGCCACACAGCCCTGGGTCCAGGCACCCCAATGACAATTTCTAACCAGAAATGCCCCACTGCCCCCAGGGAGAGGGGCTCGGTTATGAGGTCTGCTGTGCGTGATTCTAAAGCATCCCGGTCGCCTACAGACAGGGCACTGGGCGTGCTTGTGTTCTAGAGCCCACAGGGCTGGTGGCAAGTCAATGGGCAAACAGTGCTACCAACGCCCATGCAAGTGTGGCGACGTTTGTACCATGCCTACCCATCACGCCATCCAACACTCACGAAGACATCGAGACTCCTGCTTTACAAAATGAAGTGCTGGCCCGAGAGCTGTAGGGACAGCGGAAGTCCCACAAACCCCCGGGCTCCCGCCAACCAGAGCCGACTTGTGGCCCCAGCACCAACAGGCCTCCAATGCCTCCTTCCACCTCCGTCCCCACCCTGGTGCTGGTCTCCGGACCCTGCTCCGGCCTCCTCCCGCCGGAGCAAACGGGGACCAAGAACTGATGGTGACGGCGGCCTTGCTGGGCAGGAGGCAGCCCTGGGCAGACACACCCTGGGAGCGCGTCGGAGGAGCAATGCGAGAGGAGAGTCTCGCAGTGCAGAAAACTCAAGACTGATTTATAGGCTCGAAAACCAGCTTCTCGGCCGGGCGCGGTGGCTCAAGCCTGTAATCCCAGCACTTTGGGAGGCCAAGACGGGCGGATCACGAGGTCAGGAGATTGAGACCATCCTGGCTAACACGGTGAAACCCCGTCTCTACTAAAAAATACAAAAAACTAGCCGGGCAAGGTGGCGGGCGCCTGTATTCCCAGTTACTCGGGAGGCTGAGGCAGGAGAATGGCGTGAACCCGGGAGGCAGAGTTTGCTGTGAGCTGAGATCCGGCCACTGTACTCCAGCCTGGGCGACAGAGCAAGACTCCGTCTCAAAAAAAAAAAAAAAGAAAACCAGCTTCTCTTCCACACACACTTCTGAGACTGGCGTCAGATTCCACGGAATTCAGGCAGAGGACACACCCAATGTCTAGCCTGCCTGTGGAGATACACCTGAGAAGATGAGTTTACTCACTTCCTGACCACATAAGCAAGGTCGCAGGCTGCTGACCAGATGGTCAGCGGCCCGTGTCGGCCCCCGTCCGTGCAAGAGCCCCACGGGCCGACGGAACCAGCATGTGGCCACCACAGGAACCTCACCCCCGGAGACGCCCAAACTCAAGGGCTCAGCCCTGTAGCTGCTGCAGCTCGTTCCAGCCTCTCAACATGCAAAACTCAGGGGAAACGTGGCACAGGCTGCCGGCCACATGGAGATGACACAGACTCCTGGCTCCCAGTGACAGGCGAGGGGGCTGACCAGGAACGCCGTGCAGCACCAAGGGCAGTCCCGGGAGTCCGCGCGTCAGACACACTCAAGGGAGAGGCTGGCGGCCCCACGCAGCCCTCTGGTGAAGGCCTTCTGAGCCCCTGGCAGCCCGAGCAGCAAGGACGCACACCCACCACACAGGGGCACAGGGCAGGTTCAGAAGGCAGGACGAGATGACAGGTTACCTCTTGGTGTTGTAGGCCGTGTCCTGAGGTGTTTCCTCCAGCAGCGTCACATAGCCAAGCGTACAGGTGAGGATGAAGAGCACGGTTAAGGTGTGGGCTCGCCTGAAATCCAAAAACGCATAAGCGTGGTGTCAGAGCCTGGGCAACGTTGCTAAATACTCACGTAACAGGCCCCAAATCCTCTCTACATCAAGGAGAGGGCTTAAACTCCACGCTCCAACTCCCAGCCAGCAACTGGCTGCAAGTCCCTGGCTGGGTAACTCCGAGATGACCCAGCGTCTGCTGGCCAGTCACAGCTGAGACCAACCCCCAGGAGGCTGGACAGGAAGAGCCCCACATTCCCAGGGAGCTGAAGGCTGCTGCTCACAGGGCATGTGCCGCACATGGCGTCCAGGGCAGGTGTCTGCTAGTAAGAGCAACTGGACACATAAACATGGTGCTCTTCACTGCGCAAGACAAGCCGAGACAACCAGTCTTTCAGTCCATGAAATAACATCTGGCATTCAGTGCAGCAGCCCAAGAAACCAAGAGCTGAGAAGGGGCCTGAGCAGAGGCCTGCAGAATGACCGCTGCCAGGTGGGGAAGATGCGAGCCGCGGGTCTGTCGTCCTCTGGCCTGTCAGAGCCCAGACGTGGGAGGAGGAGGCAGGGCACTCCCTTTGCAGTTTTGTCTTGTCCCATCGCTGGTGGAAAAGCCCACAACCAGCCCAGTACCAGAACCAGGGGCCACCGGACCCCAGCCACTGCCTGTGCCAGACACTCCCCTGAGACCCCTCTGCACAACCACCTGCAAATGGAGGCAGAGACCCAGTTCGTCAGTTCCTACATCCACCAGTGTGTCCTCAGAGGATGTACCCTCCGTGCCTCAGTTTCCTCATGTCTAACCCTGTTCCTACATCCACCAGAGTGTGTCCTCAGAGGATGTACCCTCCGTGCCTCAGTTTCCTGTCTAACCCTGTTCCTACATCCACCAGAGTGTGTCCTCGTGTCTAACCCAGGTCCTACATCCACCAGAGTGTGTCCTCAGAGAGATGATGCACCCCCTCCCTGCCTCAGTTTCCACATGTCTAAATGGGGGAGCTTCTGACCTCCAAGGACATCATGAAAATTAAGTGAACAACGCACTTAAAGCATGTTGCCCAGGACTTGCCTCCATGAAACATAAACTATTTGTGCCCTAAAGAAATGAAAAGGCGGCTGGGCGTGGTGGCTCACGCCTGTAATCCCAGCACTTTGGGAGGCCGAGGTGGGCGGATCACAAGGTCAGGAGATCGAGACCATGGTGAAACCCCGTCTCTACTAAAAATAGAAAAAATTAGCCGGGCGCAGGGGCGGGCGCCTGTAGTCCCAGCTACTCGGGAGGCTGAGGCAGGAGAATGGCGTGAACCCGGGAGGCGGGGCTTGCAGTGAGCCGAGATTGCGCCACTGCACTCCAGCCTGGGCGACAGAGCGAGACTCCGTCTCAAAAAAAAAAAAAAAAAGGCCGGGTGCGGTGGCTCACGCTTGTAATCCCTGCACTTTGGGAGGCCGAGGCGGGCGGATCACGAGGTCAGGATATCGAGACCATCCTGGCTAACACGGTGAAACCCCGTCTCTACTAAAATACAAAAAATTAGCCGGGCGCGGTGGCGGGCGCCTGTAGTCCCAGCTACTCGGGAGGCTGGGGCAGGAGAATGGCGCGAACCCGGGAGGCGGAGCTTGCAGTGAGCCGAGATGGTGCCACTGCACTCCAGCCTGGGCGACGAAGTGAAGACTCCGCCTCAAAAAAAAAAAAAAAAAAAAAAAAAAAAAAAAAAAAAAAAAAAAAAGAAATGAAAAGGCAAGGCACAAACTGGGAGAAGATATTCACAATACACATATCTGATAAAACTTTGTAGGCCACACATGTCTGCAGTCCCCACACTTTGGGAGGCTGAGACAGGAGGATTGCTTGAGCCCAGGCGTTCAGGACCAGACTGGGTAACACAGTGAGACCCCATCTGTATAAAAAATTAGCCGGGCATGATGAGGGCACCTGCAGTCCCAGCTACTCGAGAGGTGGTAGATTTGCTTGAGCCCAGGTCGAGGCTGCAGTGAGCTAGGATGATCGTGCCACTGCACTCCAGCCTGGGAGACAGAGCAAGATCTCTCTCAAAAAAACAAAACAAAACAAAAGACTTTTTATCCAGAATTTATAAAGAACTCATACAGCTCAATAAAAAATTTAATGAAAAAATACGCAAATAATTGAACAGACACTTCACAAGGAAAACATTCAAATGGCCAATAAGCACATGACAAATGAGGAGCGTCACTGGTCACCGTGAAAGCAAATCCAAGCCATGACACAACATAAGTACACATCTGCTAGAACAGCTGAAGTTAAAAGCAGCACAACGCCAAGGGCTGGTGAGGTCTCAGAGCAAGACGCTCATGCACTGCAGGTGGGACTGCAAAAGGCACAGAAAAGTGAGACCTACGTCCACCATCCAGCCAGCCACACACTCCCAAATGTGGACCTGAGATAGATGAAAACACAGGTCCAGTCAGACTTACATGCAGATGTTTCAGGTATAATAACCTAAAACGGGAAACAAACCAAAACTCTATCAGTGGACGAAAGGCTGTAGTCCCTCCGTACTGCGGAGCACGGCTCAGCACTCAGAGGAACGTGCTGCTGGCAACGGCCTCAACGTGGACGGATCTCAAAGACACGCCACTTGGGAGGCCCAGGCAGGAGGACTGTTTTCGGCCAAGACAACATCGTGAACATCGTGAGATCCCATCTCAAAAGATAAAAAAAGAGAAAGAAAAAGAGGCTACAGAAGCCAGGCACCAAAGAAACCTCCCATCTGCTGCCACCCACACACAACTCAAGGAAAAGAGTTTACATCCACGAAAAGCAGACTGGAGCAGAGACACGGGCCTTCTGGGTGATGGAATGTTCCAGTGAGCGTGGTTGTGGCGGCGCACGGACGTGTCACCTGAAAATGGGTGCTCCATGGAACGCACCCACACCTGGATTCAGCCGGTTTCATGAAGAGCCAGGGTAGAGCTGCAGGAGTGCAGGTGGGGGCTCCAGGCTAGACCCTGGCCAGAGTCCACCTGTGTTCGGAATGCTGCCCTTTTTATCATTTTTAATCCTAATTAATCTTGCACATTCACTCCACATTAATTTTAATCCATATTAGTTTAAACAGCAGTTTGGCAAGTTGACACAAATGATTCCATTAGGATTTCGACTGGAGTGGAATTGAATTTACAAAGTAGTGTGAGGAGAACTGCTGGGTGACTAACATTTAGGATTCCCATTCATGAGACACGGACTATTTCTCCATTTATTTAGGAGTTGTTTTATGCCCACCCGGTTATGTTAAGCAGACTAGCCCTGCGGGGGAAAGAGAGATCAGACTGTTACTGTGTCTATGCAGAAAGAAGTAGACATGAGAGACTGCATTTTGTTCTGTACTAAGAACAATTCTGTAACCCGAGCCCCAGCCCTGTGCTCGCAGAGCATGTGCTGTGTTGATTCAAGGTTTAATGGATTTAGGGCTATGCAGGATGTGCTTTGTTAAAAAAGTGCTTGAAGGCAGTATGCTTGTTAAAAGTCATCACCAGAGGCCGGGCACGGTGGCTCAAGCCTGTAATCCCAGCACTTTGGGAGGCCGAGGCGGGTGGATCACGAGGTCAGGAGATCGAGACCATCCTGGCTAACACGGTGAAACCCCATCTCTACTAAAAATACAAAAAACTAGCCGGGCGTGGTGGCGGCGCCTGTAGTCCCAGCTACTCGGAGGCTGAGGCAGGAGAATGGCGTGAACCCGGGAGGCGGAGCTTGCAGAGCTTGCAGTGAGCCGAGATCGCGCCACTGCACTCCAGCCTGGGTGACACAGCGCAAGACTCCATCTCAAAAAAAACAAAAAAAAAAACAAAAAAAAAAAACAAAAGTCATCACCACTCTCTAATCTCAAGTACCCAGGGACACAAACACTGCGGAAGGCCGCAGGGACCTCTGCCTAGGAAAGCCAGGTATTGTCCAGGTTTCTCCCCAGGTGATAGCCTGAGATATGGCCTCGTGGGAAGGGAAAGACCTGACTGTCCCCCAGCCCGACACCGTGAAGGGTCTGTGCTGAGGAGGATTAGTGAAAGAGGAAGGCCTCTTTGCAACTGAGATACAGGAAGGTATCTGTCTCCTGTTGGTCCCTGGGCAATGGAATGTCTGGGTGTAAAACCTGATTGTGTGTTCTATTTACTGAGATAGGAGAAAACCGCCTTAGGGCTGGAGGTGAGTGTGCTGGCGGCAATGCTGCTCTTTACGCCCCAGATGTTTGTGTGTGTGCACATCAAAGCACAGCCCCTTTTCTTAACCTTGTCTATGACACAGAGACATTTGTTCACATGTTTTCCTGCTGACCCTCTCCCCACTGTACCCTACTGTCCTGCCACGCCCCCCTCCCCTTCTCCGAGATGGTAAAGATAATGATCAATAAATACTGAGGGAACTCAGAGACCGGTGCCTGGCGTGGGTCCTTGGTCCTCTGTATGCTGAGCACTGGTCCCCTGGGCCCACTTTTCTTTCTCTATACTTTGTCTCTGTTTCTTTTCTCAAGTTTCTCGTTCCACCTGACGAGAAACGCCCACAGGTGTGTGTGTGGCGGGGCTGGGTGGGGGGGGCTGGTCCCCTTCAAGCCGCAAGTGAAGAAAACAGAGAATGAATTATTCTTCTTTTTTGAGACAGGGTCTGTCTCCATTGCCTAGGCTGGAGTGAGGTGGTGTGATCTTGGCTCACTGCAACCTCCCGCTCCTGGGCTTAAGCTATCCTCCTACCTCAGCCTCCTGAGTAGCTGGGACTACAGGCGCACACCACCACGCCTAGCTAATTTTTTTTCTTTTTTTGAGACCGAATCTTGATCTGTCACCCAGGCTGGAGTGCAGTGGTATTGATCTCAGCTCACTGCAGCCTCCGCCTCCTGGGTTCAAGCAATTCTCCTGCCTCAGCCTCCTGAGTAGCTGGGACTACAGGCACGCACCACCATGCCCAGCTAATTTTTGTATTTTTAGTGGACATGGGGTTTCACCATGTTGGCCAGGCTTGAATTTTTTGTATTTTTGTACAGATGGGGT